ATAAATTTCATTTTAAGTAAGTTTTCGATTATAAAATGAGGTTTTCAACTTCGATTTTGACTACTTCCGGTCCGTATCTAAAAATGGGATTCCTGTGGTGGATTCAGGGTTGGTATTCCTGTGGAATTCTTGTGGCAGCCATTTTGAAGATGGGTTAATAATTAACTCGCATGATGAGCAGATATTAACTCGTTCTTAATGTCAAAAACGTAAGAAAAATAATGAAAGCATATAATAGTCATAATTGATTTTGTTTTTGATGTATTATATTAGTGAAATAAAGAAAAAATATCGAAAATACTCCGAATCTGACTATTAGAGGTCAGCGAAGTTACGAAAAATAATGCAAATCATGCATTATAATAAAAAAATAATAATTAATGCAAATAATGCAGAGAACAACCTTCAACAACATCTTTTGAGAACTAAAAACAACTTTTTTCATTTGCCTGCTATAGTTAGTAAAACAAATGGTCACTGGAGCATTAAATGGATAAAAGATGGAAAACGAACTGGGCAAAGTGCTGTCTCTGCCAACAAGACAAAAAAGAAGAACTAAGGTCACCTGCTGCAAATCCAGCTGTACGAGAAAAAGATGGCTATCAAACTCTTGCAGCAAACATACCTCTATTTGTTGCTATCAACAATCTGCCAATTGTATTAGACCCTGATCGACTTGATGAAGGTGACGGCATTGAGGAAACATTTAGAAAGAACAATGCTGTCTACCACCAGTCCTGTAGACTGTTATTTAGCACGTCCAAGCTTGAAAGAGCAAGGAAAAGGTCTGTCAATGAATCACTARCATCAGACAATGCAGCAGATAATGAAAGATCAAAAAAGCAAAKAAAAAGTGTACTCAATGAAGCATGTTTTCTGTGCGAGAAATTTGAAAGTGGAAGTATTTTAAGAAATGCATCAACGATGAAACTTAACGAAAGACTAAACCAGTGTGCTAGGATACTAAATGATGGCAATCTGATTGCACGACTAAGTGCAGGTGATGTTGTTGCACAAGAACTGAAGTACCACACAAACTGCCTGGCTTCTTTGTATAACAGAGTGCGCTCACATCTACGTGCTCAAGAGAGTTCCACAAACTGTGATGACAATTCAGAGAAACATTGGTCAAGTATAGCGTTTTCAGAACTTGTCACCTATATAAATGAGTCATGCAATTCTGGACAAGGACCTATATCATTCCGACTCGCTGATTTAGTCAAACTCTACAAAACAAGACTTGAACAATTAGGTGTTAACGCAGCAGTAAATTCAACAAGGTTGAAAGAGCAATTATTACTACACTTGCCTGAGCTTGAAGCCTACAATAAAGGCCGAGATGTTTTGTTAGCCTTTAATAGTGATATCGGTACTTTTATAGATCATGCGAGTAAGACATGCGATGCCATTCATCTTGCACAGTCTGCTTCAATACTACGCAAGGACATGCTAAAGCACAAGTGGGCGTTTGAGAAAACTCTTGATGGTGAACAAATTGAAGAATCTATTCCTTCTTCTCTTTTAGAGTTTGTCACAGATAGACAACGGAGCATCGAAATCAGACTTAGCTCTAGCACAGCTACTACAGTTTAATTGCTTTTCGAAGTACAAAGATGATGCCACTTTTCACAGACACACGAAATCTCGTGAAACCCCTTTTGCAGTCTACCTTGGATTGTCCGTTTTTGCTAAAAGTAGAAAGAGACAGCTTATAGACATTCTGTATGAAAACGGACTAAGTATTTCATATGATAGAGTCTTAGAAATTTCGTCGCAGCTTGGAGAAGCCGTCGTAAATCAGTATGTTGAAGAAGGAGTAGTTTGTCCACCAGAACTTAGGAAAGGCCTATTCACTACCTCGGCCRTGGATAACATCGACCACAATCCCACTGCCACTACAGCTCAATCCTCATTTCATGGTACAAGTATTTCTGTATTCCAACATCCCACCTCAGATAATATAGGTGAAAYTCGTACGCCATTGAAAGTAGGACACGAAAAGACAAAGAAAGTTCCAGAGTTTCTACACTAATATACAGCCCRCCTACCTAAAACAAGATCCAAACCCACCATCTATGGAGAGCTTTAAATTGCCTGATGTTCAGTCGATAGCCGCACCAGAGTTTGTCTGGTTGAACAAAGTCAGTGTTACAGAGGAGATTRGTGAAAATATCGCTGTTACATGGTCTGCACACAACGCCTGTCAGAGAAGAAGCAACTCATTTGAAGTCACTACATGTATATCCTCATTGTTGCCCCTTTTTCGAGATGAAGCTCATTCTGTAGCGACACTAAAGCATTCTATGAATAAAATTCGTSACATTGTGTTGCATTTAAATCCAAGTCAAGTTCCCGTTATTGCTGTAGATCAACCGCTCTATGCACTAGCAAAGCAAATTCAATGGCAATGGCCTGAATATGGTGAAGACAAATTTATAATCATGTTTGGCGGCCTTCATATCGAAATGGCGGCGCTGAGGTCAGTGGGAACATTGTTACAAGAAAGTGGGTGGTCTGATGCTTTAACTGAAGCACAAGTGGCGTCATCAGGCACAGCAAAATCATTTCTTTCGGCTTCAAGCGTTACACGAACAAGACAAGCGCATCAAGTTACACTAAGTGCACTATACASATTGAAAAAGAATGCTTACGATCAGTATATGTCAGATGAAAGTGAAAGCTCCCCACGTCTGGACTTTCCTCGATGGTGCGAGAAGAGAAAGAAGGAGAACCCACAGTTCTGCTACTGGGATCTAATAATGTCAATGGAGCTGGCCATTCTGGCACTGAACAGATCATTTAGAGAAGGAAATTTTGATCTCTACCGAAAGTCACTAGCAGAACTGTTGCCTTACTTTTTTGCTAACAATAATGTTAATTACGCACGCTGGCTTACAATTCATCTTAGAGATATGATGTCCATTGAAGACAAGCATCCCGAAGTGGCTGATGAATTTAAGAAGGGAAAGTTTGTGGTACATAAATSTGAACGAGCATTTTCTAGCATTGCAATTGATCAAGCCCACGAGCAAAACAATGCAGTTATTATTGAGGACGGGATTACAGCTGATGATATAGATGAAAAGCTGAAGACAATAACAGCACAACACTCTTCGAATACACTCATTATTTATATATATAAAAATGTCTCATAATTTGTGCAAAAGGCTGTAAACAATACAAATAAAAATATACAAAATAGCGAAAATATTAAATTGAAATAACTCTCAATCGACAAATCCACCATAGTGGATGTGACGTCATGGGTGGTACTTAAGTATATTTCTTTCTCTTTATTTATTTTATTTAAACCAGTTCATGTCTGTGGTGGTGTATTTGATTATGATGGGATTACATGAGCTGTTGGTATTGCATATGATCTAGTCTGTTTCTAAAATCAAAGTTTAACAAGTGCAAGTACCACCCATGATGTCACATCTGCTATCGAACAAAGCACTGAAGAGCGTGTTTAAAACTCAAATTGATAGTAAAGCTTATAGTTTGCGAGTGATTTATCTAGAGCTCTTTTGTTTAGGAGAACAAAATGTCATTAGTGTGAATAAATTAACTACCTCCTCAAAAAAATACTGAATATATTTATTTTCTCCTCCCCTTTTTATTCCCTCCTCTAAATAATCATGATTTGTTGGTGCGGCCTTTACTACTCATCAATGATGATTATTTCCTTATTTAACCATTTAAGACAAACTTCGGAACTGAAAATAGTCCCAAAGATGTAATGACTATTAAAAATTTTGACATTTCCATTTGTTATGGAAGAGTATGGTTAAGCACATTAATCTCCGTTACCTCAGTATCAAGGAGACGATTGAAATAACCTGCGTTACGTGCTCTGTGCAGAATCTATCTAGTCCTTTTAACACATTATTAATAGACATATAGGTATTCCGCCTTGTAAAGGGTCGATTTTTTGGGCTAAAAGATATAATCGGTAATTTCCGTTACCCAGCGTTACCGTAATTTCCGTTACCTATATCAGATAACTCTTTTAATACGTGACTATCGTCACGCCACAGCAAACGAATATGATGCAGTATCGCATACCAACATATTTGTGCAGCGATTGTGTAATCGACATATCCTCTCGTATTACATTTGACCCGTAGTGCACGTGGATTCAGACATAATTTCTCAATTTTG